GTCCCAGTCTTGGACTGCAGCCAGATGATCTTGTAGACTGGATCTCTGTGACTCTGCTCCACAGAAGAAAACTCTACTGGCTGGCTGCCTCTCCGGGTGTCCCAGTATACTGATTCAAACACACCGCAGGTTAATGAACCAGGTGACACACAAAAGGTCACCTGTCTGACAGTCAGTGTGCACCTGAACCCACCAATCTGTCCGTTGTAGCTGCCTCCCACCAGAGTGTGCGGGTCTTTGGGATTGTAGTCCAGACTGACAAGCGGGGATGCTGGCTTCAGGGTCAGCTCTGGTCGGTTTGGGTTCTCTGAAACATAAAACATCCAGCAGTGAGTAAAACACACTTAGAACCAGTTTTAACCACCCCCATGACCCACAGGTATAAGTCTGATATTTCCTAGAGACAAGAGTCCCATCTGACCCTTCCAGCCCTCAGATGTTCAAGTCCTGTGTGACCCACCCACGTCCCAAATGTACGAGTTCAGGCTCATGTCTTTGGAGGTTTTCTGGAACTCGAGGCAGGAGTAGGCGGCAGCCAGCTTTCGGCCACCATCAGGATGCCATGACAGGCCTGTGACGGTACGTTTGATCTCATTAGGATCTCTGGAGACACAGGAGAAACATCCAATAATCAGTCATAGAGATTGATTGATCTGCTGATTGATCAGCTGGCTGTCAGCTGTACCTGAACATGTTGATAGTCTTTGCGGACGGCAGCTCTGGACTCACTTCCACTTCCTCCCAGCCCTCAAAGTACTCTTGGTAAATGTCTACAGCGTTGTTCTGTCTGCAGCAGTGCTCAGTGACCTGGACCACATGATGACATCACACAGTGCACAATGACATCACACAGTGCACAATGACATCACACAGTGCACAATGACATCACACAGTGCACAATGACATGACTGATGTCGACTCAGATGGACTGATGTGGATCTTACGCTGCCCAGCTGCAGGATGCTGTTCATGTAGCTCTCATCTTTCTCCGCCATCTTCCTGAAGCGGCTGGTTTGTTCCATGTCTTTGGGGTTGATGTCTTTGGGCCACCCGCCTTCCACATGGTTTATCCCACAGCTGATGTACTCGACGCGTTCAGTGTTCACCTGAAACAAGAAGCAACACCTGAGTTCCACCTGACCTGCATCACACAGTGTCACCTGAACACATCAGTTACATTTCTGATCATGTGATCTTGGAGAGACTGTAGAATAGAGATTCATGTTCTGTGTTTTAGACGTACAGCGACGTGTTTGTTCCAGACTAAAACATAAATCACGACTCGTGTTTCTCTGAGTCAAACTGTAACATCAGGATGCACACACCTGTCCCGTGGATTCATTTTCTACACGTCTTTAACTTTTTTAGTTTGTGGACTTTTTTATTATAATGTATTTATTATTCTTGTGATACTTCATTAAAAAAAAAAAAAACACACATATACTTTTTGGACCTTTAGAGACATTTAATTGCTGCAATATCCTAAAAACAACAATTTCCTCAGTTTAGACAGTTTCCTATTTTACTCTTCTGCAGCCTGATGTTTAACATGATTCATTGTGTTCTTCTGTCCTCTCAGAGGATTCTCGTCCATCCAGGCAGCAGCAGGTAGACCCAGAACATCTACTGGAGATGATGGGTTCCAACAGCTTTTGAACCATCTGCTGTCTCAGTGAAACCAGCAAAAAAGTTCAACCCACAGACATTAAAGAGTCAGGAAGCTTGGCAGACTTTAAAACCAGCATCGAGGTTTGACTGAAATCAGCACAGAGCTGTCACATCAATAATGAGCTTCTAGTTTTTTCTGATTGTATTTATTCTCTCGTGCTGATGGACTAAGCTTTGTGTTGTTTTGTGTGTGTATTGTTCTGTGGTTGTTTCATTCTCTGGACCTGCTCAGGAACAACTCTCGTGCACGTACTTTTAATTGCGCAAAAATAAACAAGTAAAAACACAAACACATAAACAAATTGAATTAACTTTCACTCCTGCTCTCCAATGTCTCCTCCCTCCACAACCAGCTGGACGTTTGCTGGGATGAACCCTCAGAGAGTGGAGGGACTGCTGTGTGTCTGCTTTAACAGAAACATGGCTCCATGACAGCATCCCAGATGGACAGACAGCTGGAGGGGATGCAGACAGACAGACAGACAGACAGACGGACAGCTCTGGGCAGCATCTGCAGCTTCACCATCGTCACACCATCGTGTGTCTTTGTGTCCCTGAAGACCTACCAGGACCTGAAGAGGTTCACCATGTTCAACGAATGGACGCAGCGCCCCCTTCAGGAGGCAGCGAGAGTGAACGTTTAGGGTCTATCCCAGATGTTTATTCTGCTAAACTTGCTGGTTGAATAAGGAAGAATTAAACAGCCAGGAGCCGTGCATATTACGGTTTGAATGCACGCAGCGGAGCCTAAAACACCATGACGCGGAGCGGAGTGGTGTCACTCCGCTGAGTCGCCAGAGCGGAGTGATATCATAGTGATCTAACTCACCGTGGTATAGTCCTGAAGAAACGCTCTCTCGTCTTGCCTGTGCCAGCAAGATGACCCAAAACCTGATTTGATGTGAACTTCAAAGATATTTTGACGTGTTATTCCGTCTGAACAGAATCTTTATAAAACGGTTTCTGTGTTGAAGCATCAGATTTCACGTGTTACTGTTACTGCAGGTGAGCTCACCTGGTGCTCGGACTGCTCCCTGAGGGTCTGCACGGCCTGGTCTCTCTGCCTTCTCTGGATGAAGTTCGAGGCGGCGTTCTGATCCGGTGGAATGTCCACCAGCAACTCCACGGGTCGGTCCGACAGGAGACACTGGCGGCCGAACTCCTCCCGGTTCTTGGTGTAAACGTAGACGATCTCCATGTTAACACACTTTCCGTTGAAACCAGATCGTTAATGACCGGAGCAGAACTTTCTGTGTTTCTCCAGTTTGCCGTTTCCCAGCAACGCCGTGAACGCGGGTGTATCCTAGCAACGGCGGCGTTTTTTTTTTTCTCTGTAAAATAAGCTTTATTTAAAGCGACGGTTTACAGTCAGTAGTTTTAGGAGCTCACTGCCTGTTTTTGGTTAAAAATACGGAATCTGCGTGTTTTGTGGCTTGAGATTAAAAACAGTTTTCATGTTTTAAAGCTGCTGATTTATTTTGATCTGCAGCTGAAGCTGATTCTAAGCTGACATGAACATTACTGCAACTATTCACCTTTCTTCAGGTCCACCTGGTAAACTGACCGCTCTATACTTTGAACATCCATCCATCATCTCTACACCTTCATCCTCACCAGGGTCATGGGGGG